CTAGACAAATTAAAGCTCTAAAACATTATATTGAGTACAAAGAGCTAATCCCAGAAAGCAGCATACTGTATAATTCCATTTATATGACATTCTTCAAGTGGCAACATTCTAGAAAATGGATGATGGATTGCCAGGAGTCACTAGAGGTGTAGTGCTGCTGGAGAGAAGTGATTGTGGCTATAAAAGTAGGCAATATGACAGATCTGTGATGATGGAATGTTCTGTGTCTTGACTCTACCACTGCTTTATTCTACAAGACAAATTGCCATTAGTAGAAACTGGATAAGAAGTATCTAGGATTTCTGCATTACTTGTTATAACCAGATCTTAAAGCATAATAATCTCAAAATAAAACAGCTTAATTTACAAAGCAAATGAATACCTAGCATGCCAAATACTGTGCTAACCATTGAATATGCAGTCTTGAGCATAAACTGAAATAGTGCCAAATCTCATGATACATTCTAGCAGGGAAGACAGCTACATTAACAAAATAATTGCAAAAATATGTTTAATACTACTACTCTAGTAAGTGCTATAATGGAGAGCGGAGAGGAATAATAATGAGCAAATCTGACTGAGTCAGGGAAAATTTGACTCAGGTACTAAATAGGTCAGCGAAGCATTTTTTTCCCCTCTAACTTTATAACTTCATGACTTTGGACAAGTTATTTAACCTTTCCATGTCTTAGATTCCTCCTTTGTTAAATGAAGGTAACACAGAAACTTTAGGGTTGTGATTACATTTAATAAACATACTAAGTGAATTTGTAAGCAGGGAGCCTTTAATCCTAGCTACTCCGGAGGCTGAGATCTGAGGATCAAGGTTTGAAGCCAGCCCAGGCAGGAAAGTCCATGAGACATATCTCCACTAACTACCAGAAAACCAGAAGTGGCGCTGTAGCACACAGAGTGTTAAACCTTGAGCTAAAGAAGCTCAGGGACAGAGCCTAGGCCCACAGGTAAAGCCCCAGGACCTGCAAAAAAAAAAAAAAATTGTGAAGGTTTAGTATAGCGTTAGCATGTAGTAAGCTCTGTTTCAGTGTTTCTGGTTTTGTTGAGATAGTATTGTGTGCTGCCTAGGTTGGCATTGGCCTTGAGATCCTCTTGCCTCAGCCTACTGAGTAGATGGGATTACTGGCACATACCTCTGTGCCCTGTAATAATAGGGTACTTGATGTGAGATTTGAAAAAGGAATGAGAAAGTTAATTAAGTGAGAAGTTGAGGATAGGCTCCAGGCAGAGGGGGTAGGAATGTCTTCAGGGGGCAGGAGATGGGAAAGAAAGATCCTGATGGGACAGAGATTGAAAGGTCAGTGAGTCCAGAGTTCATGGTATTAACATGATGCTGGGGAACCAGGCCCGGCCAGAGAACATAAGCATTTTTTTCTGCTGTGTTAAGGAATTTGTCTCCTAAGGGATGTGGGAAATTATGAAAAAATTTTAATCCACTGACTGGAGAGATTAGTGATCAGACTTGCTTTTTGAAAAAGCTTTGCTGACTGCAGCATGGAGATCAAAGGGGAGTCAGGCAAGGAGAGTGTGCATGGATCATTTATGAGTTTATAACAGTCATCCAGGCTTCACCTCGGGATTTTCACAAGCTATGTCTAATCTCCATAACTGCAAGTATATGTTTGCAAGCTACTGCATTTGACTGCAGTGTTTTGACCCGACATTCCTTCTCTCCTTTTTTTCCTCTATGTTTTGAGACAGGGTCCTGCTATGACTCCAGGCTACACTGGAACTTTCTGTGTACCAGCTGGCCTGCCACTCATGTTCTTCCTGCCTCAAGTTCTGGGGTTTTAGGACTGTGTGGCATAGAACACAATATATTCACAAACACAATACACACACACACACACACACACACACACACACGCACACACACGCACGCATGCAGAGAAAGGAGAAGTGAAAGAGGAAGAGTGAGGGACAGGAAGAAGGCAGAGGCAGTCAGATGAAAAACAAAGAGGAAGAGCAGATGATGTGTTACATCCCTGATTGCTGTTCACACTATTATATGTCCTCCTAATTGACGCTTTGAATGGAAATGTTCTTGCATTCCTGGAAAATCAGCAAATTGATGATTTGCTTCGAGACTCTTAAAAATATAGCACCTCATATTTTCCATTTTCCTTCACCTAATAAATAAAACTCTCCATCCTCGCTCCATTATGAAACAAATAAAAACAAGCAAATTACCTTTTAGTTGTTTATACAAGAGATACAATATTTAATTTGCTTGTCTCAAAGGAACTGTAAAATTTTCAGCATGATTTAACTTAATTATAAAACCCTTAATGTATTAATAATCTTAATATAACAGGCCCCCCCTTTTTTTTTTCTCAAGGCTAGCACTCTACCACTTGAGCCAGAGCACCACTTTTGGCCTTTTTTGCGTATGTGGTACCAAGAAATCGAACCCAGGGCTTCATGCATGCTAGGCAAGCACTCTAGCACTAAGCCATCCAGCCCCTAACAGGCCATTTTTGACAGAGATAACTAACATTTATAAAGCTGGAAAACAGCAAATATTAATCTTTCCTTTGAAATGTATGTTAGGTTTATTTTATTTTTCTAAAACCAGTTTAATACTGTTAAAAAGAGGATTTGTTTATTGGAAACTGAAGACATTTCTTTTTTGACCTTGTTGATTAAACTATTTCAACATTTATTGCCAGTTTGAAGCTAGATGCTGACAATTGAGACCTGCCTTCAAAAAGCTTTCAAAATGTCATTTCATAGCCAGGTGCCAGTCTCAGATCTCAGGAGGTTGAGATCTGAGGATCATGGTTCGAAGTCAGCTTGGGCAGGAAAGTCTATGAAACTCTTGTCTCTAATTATCCAAAAGTCAATTGTGGCGCTGTGGCTCAAATAGTAGAGTGCCATGAGTAAAGAAAGCCCAGGGACAGGGCCCAGGCTCTGAGATCAAGCGTCAGGACTGGCACCCAAAACAAAAGTCACTTTATGATCTTTAAGACAATGAATTTATAGAATGAATGCATTTAAAATCTATCTATATTAGCGGGGCGCTGGTGGCTCACGCCTATAATCCTAGCTACTCAGGAGGCTGAGATCTGAGGATCATGGTTCAAAGCCAGCCCGGGCAGGAAAGACTGAGACTTTTTAACTCCAATAAACCACTAGAAAACTGGAAGTGGCGCTGTGGCTCAAGCGGTAGAGCACCCGCCTTGAGCCAAAGAGCTGAGGGATAGCGCCCAAGCCTAGAGTTCAAGCCCCACAACCACCACCACCAACAACAAAAATCTATATTAATAGTATTTTATATTTCTAAAATGAGTACTTTTTTTTTAATTACTAAAGCTCTTGGGGGAAGTTGTTTTCCATAGGACAAGACATTGTCTTAAGGGAATCTTAGGTGTTCCAGAATTCACTGCTATACTAAGCACTAGAGGTGGAAAATACTTTTGTTATCTTACTTTCTGTAGGTACCTAGTGTGATCTCTAGAGCCTCTTGTCTTATTTGCCTTGCTAGTTTGACTGCTTTTATGATTGTCCTACACGTGTAATTTTTACAAGTCCATTACTAATGCCAGTATACTTACTTATTTTGATGTTGGAGGAATAAATAAAAGCCTAACTATGTAGGAGGAATATTGTTTTGAACTGTTTTGGAGGGGTAAGAACAATCAAGCCATGTTTTTCTGGGTTTACTTTTTGAAAAAAATTAAAATTACCCTTATATCTGTCTGTCTATAATGTTTGACATAGTGCTCTAATTTAAATTTTAGAATGATAAAAAGAATATGTTTGAAGCTAACCCAAGCAGAAAAGTCCAAGAAACTATAGCTTCAAGCAATGCAGCAAAAAGTAGGGTTGGAGTCATGTCTTAAGTTGTAGAGCAATAGCTGTGAGTAAATAAGCCAAGCCTGAGGCCTGAATTCAACCCCAGTACTGGCAGCTAGCAAACACACAAATAAAATAAACTATTGAAGTAATCTATAGAATTAAGTATGCCTAAATTTTAAAATTGTCAAATTTGAGCATTTGATCTGGTAAAAAATATGCAAAAACAACAATCTCTCTTTCTTTACTTTAGTCATTTGTTCTTGGAACTTTCTTAGAAATCCTTCCATAAATAATTTATCTGGGCTGGGAAGGTGGCTAAGTGGTAGAGTGCTTGCCTTGCATGCATGAGGCCCTGGGTTCGATTCCTCAGCACCGCATAAGCAGAAGTGACGCTGTGGCTCAAGTGGTAGAGCACTAGCCTTGAGCTGAAGAGCTGAGGGACAGTGCCCAGGCCCAGAGTTCAGGCCCCATGACCGACAAAAAAAAATTATCCATACATAAACATTTATCAGTTATGAACTTTTATCAGTTCCTTAACTTCTCTCTTTTGAGTGGAGGAAACCTCACATATACTATAGCTGTGAGGGATGGAATGTGGTTTGGTGGTAGAGTGCTTGCCTAGCATGCATGAGGTGTTGGATTCAATTCCTTAGTACCACATAAACAGAAAGGCTTGAAGGGGCGCTGTGGCTCAGGTTGTAGCATGCTAGACTTGAGCAAAAGAAGCTCAGGGATAGTGCCCAGGCCCTGAGTTCAAGCCCCCAGGACTGGCAAAAAAAAAGTGTAGCTATGAATGCATCTTGCTACCTTAATCACTTAGTTGATAATAGAGATTATTTTATACCAGTGCTTGAAAAAAATTTTCTTTATTCTGCTGCATAGTGAGAAGAAATTATTGTTATTTTAGAAACAGCATACTAGAGGTAAAACAGCTTAATTTTGATGTTGTGACGTAGGTTATTTTTATGTTGGTTTGTTTTTGTCTTTTATCTTTTGTCATAGGGTCTCGCTATGGGGCCTGGGCCAGCTTCACGATCTTCCTCCCAGTGACGTGATTACAGATTGTGTGTCACCACTCTCGGTGAACCTGGAATTTTCCCTGCCTTTCCATTTGTCATGTTAAGCTAGATGAGTTTAATTATTTATGTTGGAAAAATGTTAAAATCATTTTTCCCCCTTTTTTCCAGACAATCAGACAGCTAAATGGAGTCTGAGCAGCTGTTCCATAGAGGCTACTATAGAAACAGCTACAACAGTATAACCAGTGCGAGTAGTGACGAGGAGCTGTTAGATGGAGCAGGTGTTATTATGGACTTTCAGACTTCTGAAGATGACAATTTGTTAGATGGTGACACAGCAGTGGGTAAGTGCAGCATTGCAATTCAGTATTTGTAGTCATGAATATCTGCCAGTAAATGTAGGCACCGTTTTACTGACAGTGACTTTTGGGATAACTTTATTGATTATTGAGGTCAGTCCACACAATATAAACTTCACTATCTTAAAGTGTACATTTCAATGACATTAGCACATTGTCAGTGTTAACCTGACCACTACTTTCTCATGTCTCTCCAAAACATTTTTTTTTTAATATTTTAGGGCTGGGAAGGTGGTTCAGTGGTAGAGTGCTTGCCTTGCATGCATGAGACCCTGGGTTCAATTCCTCAGCGTCATATAAGCAGAAAAAGCTGGAAGTGGAGCTGTGGCTCAAGTGGTAGAAAACTAGCCTTTTGCTGAAGAGCTGAGGAATAGCACCCATGCCCAGAGTTCAGATCCCATGACTGAAAAAAAAAAAAAAAAAAAAAAATATATATATATATATATGTATATATATATATATATATATTTATTAGCTGGCTGCCATTGGCTCAAGTCTATAATCCTAGAAACTCAGGAGGCTGAGATCTGAGGTTTGAAGCCAGACTGGTAGAGCTAGAGCTAGCCTTGAGCTCAGGGACAGTGCCCGGGCCCTGAGTTCAAACCCTACGATCAAAAATAAATTTTTTTTTTTTTTTTGTCAGTCGTGGGCTTGAACTCTGGGCCTGGGTGCTGTTCCTCAGCTCTTCAGCTCAAGGAGAGCGCTCTACCACTTGAGCTACAGTGCCACTTCCGGTTTTCTGGTGGTTTATTGGAGATAGGAGTCTCACGGTCTCTCCTGCCCAGGCTGGCTTTGAACCGTGATCCTCAGATCTCAGCCCCCTAAGTAGCTAGGATTACAGGCGTGAGCCACCAGCGCCCAGCCCAAAAATAAATTTTATATATATATATATATATATATATATATATATATATAACTTTTAAGTAGTTGTACAGAGGAGTTGCCATTCAACAAAAGTTTATGAATACAAGCATCTTGATCAATGATGTCCCTCTTCCAACTCATTCATCCCTTCCAACTCACCTTTCCCTCTCCAAAACATTTTGATCACTGAAAATGGAATTTTGAAAGGAAATTCTACAGTGGAGCAAACTGTTCAATGTAACTACATAATATAGAGAGCTGTATCATCATTAAAACATAGGTATAGGAATTGAACTGCTGAATATCTGCAGAATAAACACTATTTATATAATAGTTCTTCAGTCAACAATGAAACATTACCAGTAGTTTCAGAATCCTCACTCTAAATAATTATTGCTTGATTTCTATATAAATGAGTTTTCCAGCTATTCTAGTATATGTAATCTTTTATATCTGGCTTTTTTTTTTCTCCTTTGGTTAGTTTGGGGGTTTGAACTCAGGGCCTCAAGTTTGCTTGACTTGCTTGTACTTTTGGCACTCCACCAACTGAGCCACACCTTTAACCCCAGCATATTTTAACTGTTACTAATACTGATGCTGTAAATTTTCATATACATGAAAATATACACCATTCTCCATGATTTATAATTCAGCACGAAAGGCTTAGCAAGAGTTTATATTATTATTTTTATTGGTGTCAACTACTGTCAGTTGTTTAACTTGAAAGACAGGCAAAGTTAAGTCACATTGAGAAAATGCCTGCCAGATTCTGATGTCTAAGCAACTAGTGTTCTTTCCAGTAAAAAATGTACTTGTGAAAACAACCATTCATATAGTGTTTTCTTTAAGATGAAATCATTGTATAACAATAGAGAAGTCATTGTTTCATTTTGGATAATATACTTACAAGTTGTGATTTGATAGAATGTCTTAACAATGCCACTTAGAAGAAAAAAGACCAGGAATTTCTTATTTGCAAATTTATGGTAGTAAAAAATACAATCTCTTCTAGTACATTTTGGTGCTTCTTCTGTTGGCAGCTGTTTTTAGCCTATTGCTTTTGTATCTATCAGAAATTGGAAGGTCTGTACAAGGAAGAAAACTGAGAATGTAGTTGGTTGAGTAATGGACCTGCCACACCCTAACTCCTGGCACCTGTACTTGATGCAAGGGACTTTGTGGTTATGATTAAACCCAAGATCTTGAGATGTGTGAACAGCTGCTATTACTTGAGTGGCTGGCGCCAATGTAATCACAGAGGTACTTGAAAAAGGGAGGCAGGAGGCTCAGTCACACAGACAGTTGAGAGAAAAGGTTGAAATGGTACAAGGAGGAGACTATGAATCAAGGAATAAAGGCAGCTTCTGGAAGCTAGAGAAAGCAAGAAAATGGATTTTCCTCTGAAGTCTCCAGAAAGAAAGTGTCCCTGCTGATACCTGGCTCTTCGACTTTTGATATCCAGAATTGTAAGAGAATACATTTATGTTGTTTAAGCCAGTACATTTCTGGTCATTGGTTACAGTGGCAGTAAGAAACTGATAAATGTCTTAGAATTATTGAGAATGATTTTTAACCGTGAGAAAGATTTTTCATATCTTTAGAGGTTAACAGACCATAGTTGAACATACTCTGAAAATTGTATTTCAAGGTAAACTAGCTGTCAAATGTATACCGGATAAGTGAATAAGGTGACTCAGTATATTGCATTATAAACTGTAAGAGTGGAAGATTTATATAAAAAGGGAACAGTCATCTGTATATATAATACCTCAGTTCTCCTAAAATATCATACACATAAAGTTGAAGGGAAATACAAAAAAATTAATGACGAAGGAATTTGGATACTTTTTATTTTTCTTTATATGTTTCAGAGTTTTCCAAATACTCAACAGTTTGGCTTCAGAATTATAAACCTAAACCTACATGCATAAGATTTATCTGTTACTTAGGAAGATAGATCTATTTCATTAATAGTTTAAAAAACTTGGATAACTTTTAAATATATAATCAATCCTATGGCAAATGGGGCTTTCTTTTGTATCATTGCCCTGGACTCTGTATTTGTTAGGTTTAAACTTGTGACTGCTACCATTTGTTTAGATCTTTTATTGTTGTACTTTGCTTCTTGAAATGAGCTCTTGATCCTCTAGAAATCCCTACCTTCTTTTCTTCTCACTGTTTTGTTTTTCTCTTCTGTCCTGTTTTGGCTTTTTGAGAGAGGAACTTCACTATATAGCCTAGAACTCCTTTCATAATTCAGCCTGTCCTTGAATTCTCTTGCCTCAGCCTTGTTCCACCTCAGCTGACCACCTGCTTTCCAAGTTGAAGTTAAGGGCTCCTTCTGTGTAGTAAATTCGATTGCTTTATAATGTTGGCTTTCTTAACTTATTCCTTATTTGTCTTGTTTATTGCCAGGCTTTCTCCTAAATTAAGCTATGCATTTTTTTCCAGTAAAAATTTCTTACCAATTTCTGCTTGCTTATCAGTAATTAATTTTTTTCTTCATGTAGTTCTGTTTAGAACTGCTCCATTATGTTTTAATTATATAGATTAATCTTTCTAATTACATAATTTTTGATGAGCAATCTTAATTTCCCTTATTTCCGAACTATGTAGTGAGATACTAGTATATCATAGGCAATCACAAAAAGTGCTGGTTATTTATATTCTCTTTTAACAGTGTATTATACATTGGCAGGTATACAGTAGGTGCTGATGAACAATTTGTGGTTTTATAAAATATTAATCTATTTAATATATTAGCTGATTACATCTGTTTGTTTTTATTTATTGAACTAGTATAGATATATAGAGAGAAGTTTTGGTTTGACTGGACACTTGTAAGCGTGGGTAGAATACTCAGTAGAGTACTGAACTGTGTCATCCATCTGTATCGTTACAACAGTACTACACAATGGCCCTGGTAGCATCACCCAGGAGAAAAAAGAGCAGGATGGAAAGCCAGGAGGAAATGACAAAGCATCTAGCTGTCTGACTTTGTCAGTGTTATTCTGTGTATAGTGTGTTAAAAGTTTATAGTAGAAGTATTGCTAAAGATATGAAGTCTAAATGCTACAGACTGTTGAATTCAGTTGATTTTATGAATATAAATAATGCAGCTGTGAGATCTTCAGGTAGAAAACATGAATAATCCAAAATTAGCTTTTTAGTAAACACAATGTCCTTGTACTGAACTTAAAAGCAAAAATAAATTTCTCATAATAATTGTGTTATAACTCAGAAATCTGGGAAAGAAAATCTAACGTAGAAAAATTGCAAAGGTTGTATTTGTGCGTTTGTCTTCAGTAGATGACAGGTTGATTTTAGCTGTATTGTTTTACCAGGCTTCTTCCAGTAACATTGGTGATACTGTTCTAATGAGTGAGACATTGTAATGTGAAATTATAAAGTCATATTGGCAACATAAACTTATGTCTCTTAGAAAGTATGAAATAGTTATATTGTGAATCTCCTGTAAATGTTTGGAAGTTCTTAAGAAAGCTATCAAAACATTACTGCTACCATTTAGTAGCTATTGGAGAAAGGCCATGATTCTTTGAAATGGTCTACTCAAAATTATTTTTAGAAATAAATAATCTGATACTTATTCAAAGCAAGGTCATGTCTAAATGTATTTGATAGCCTTCACAGTCTATTACCAGCTATCTTGGAAACATTTACTGTATCTAAGACTCCAGACTGTTCCACTCAGAGCCACCCTCCTAACATATGTGGAAGTAGGAGACTGTTCACATTTGTGTTTATTTAAGAGACAGGTTAAAATACTCAGGGAGAATTAAACCATATGAAGTTATGAAGTGTTGTGGGTTTGTTGTTGTTGTTATGGGGCTTAAACTGAACGCAGTCTCTTAGCTCTTCAGCTAGCAATCTACCACTTTAGCCACTGTGCCACTTCATTTTCTGAGCTGTTTATTGGAGATAAACCGCCTGCCGGGGCTGGCTTTGAACCATGATCCTTAGATCTTCTGAGTACCTAGGATTACAGGCGTGAGCCACTGGTGCCCAGCTTGAAGTGTTGTGATTTAAGATCCAAATACTAGGAGTAATAATAAACTGGTGTCTGGATAAAATTAGCCTAAGATTCCAGTACAAAGAAAACT